GGCTCGCATGGAATGCCCCTGAAGGTCATTCCGTTCGAGCGGGCTCGCTGATGCCGATAGCCGTTGGACTTCGCACTTTTAGGTGGGACCCCCTAGGGGCCACAGGGGAGGTCCCTTCCGCTTGAGCGGGCTCGCATGGAATGCCCCTGAGGGTCATTCCGTTCGAGCGGGCTCTTTCATGCCGATAGCCGTTGGACTTCGCATTTTTAGGTGGGACCCCCTAGGGGCCACAGGGGAGGTCCCTTCCGCGCGAGCGGGCTCGCATGGAATGCCCGAGGATGATGATCATGATGTGTGTGTGTGTGTGTGTGTGTGTGACTGGGTGTGGGTGTGACCCGCGGCCGTCCAGAGAAAACAAGAACCCCACTTAGGATGTGGGGGAATATCCAGGAGCAAAGCGTGGGACGTTCACGCGAACACCCAGAAGCAAAACGTAGGACGTTCACACGAATATGTGCCCAAGAGTCGGCGGCATTCTTGGGCACACTTCCGTCTTCATCCCGTTTCTCTCGTATCCTTGCCCGCGTGCCCCCTCCTCCGTGCCCACGTGAAAGCGAAAACCGAAATGTGACGACGACGACGGCGACGTCGACCACGACGACGACGACGACCACGACCACGACGACGACTACGACGACGACGACGACGACGACGGCGGGACGACGACGACGACGACGACGACGATGACGACGACGACGACGACGACGAGTACGACGAGTACGACGAGTACGACGACGACGACGACGACGACGACGACGACGACGACGACGACGACGACGCGACGACGACGACGGCGACGACGACGACGACGGCGACGACGGCGACGACCCCTTCCTCCTCCTCCTCCTCCTCATCGTCCTCCTCCTCCTCCCCGTCCTCCTTATCCTCCTCCCCTTCCTCCTCCTCCTCCTCCTCCTCCTCCTCCTCCTCCTCCTCCTCGTCCTCCTCAGAGGCCCTGGGATTCTGGAGAGCCCGAACACCGAGCCCCCGACGCTTGTAGCAAACCTCGAGAGGCCTTGAGAATCTGGAAAGGCCGAACCCTGGAACACCCGACGCCTACTGGGAATGACGCTTTCGCACAAGACTTTCTCGCAATTTACTTCGGAACCGAGCCCTCGCCTGAGATTTCTTCGGCTCTACCCCCTTTAGCTTAGCCCTTAGCTAAGGTTGCTAACCCAGTTAGCTAACCCCCCAGTCCCTTAGCTAACCTGGCTAACTAAAGAGGATACCAGCTTGACCTAAGTGGGTTAGTAATGCGCGCACTTGATTAGACAGCAGTTTGGCAACCCAACCCCAAAGGTTTTGGCAATTTTTAGCTAAGCCGTGCTACGTGATACCTACACCATGCAAACATTGCAATGTTTGGCAAGCAGTTGCCTAACTCGGGTTAAGGCGCCAAAGCGCCCGTGCACTCTCAGTATTGGTGTTACATATACACATGGTATATATTCATAAATGTGGTAGTACAATATAATAATCCGCTGTTCTACACCAACTGATTGAAACTACTAAGATGTCACACTATTAAACAGGTAAGAGTCGTATACCTAATATTACGCTGTGTTGCAATGTACTTAAGATGTTGTGTTGTAGTGTATGATACAATGTATACACGTATATCGTATAAAGAATGTATCGCCCGAGAAATGGTTATATGGGGGTGGCATAATATGGCATGCTACTTATATCGTATGAGAATATTAGATGGTATCGTGATTCTATGGTGTGGCAAATCGATAGTTTGATAGTTTAGATATGTGTAATTCTATGGCACGCTCAACTAACGGGGGGGATGCCAGACTCCCAAGCAGGCGATGACATTAATGCTTGTAAACCGCATAATAGCTTGAAGCGCTGCACGCTCGAAGATACGCGTCTGTTTGGGCAAATAGACGACGCAATCCTCTGGGTTGAGACGCACGCTCTTGTTAGCACATCTTGCAACGACTAACAAGCGCGCGGGAGGGTCGGGGGTCGCGGGTCCCGGGTCCCGGGGCCGGAAAAACGTCAGCTCGCGTCAGCTCGCGTCAGCTCGCGTCAGCTCGCGTCAGCTCGCGTCAGCTCGCGTCAGCCCCCCCCCCCCCTCGCCAGAGCGAAGCTTGAGCGAGCTCAAGCCCACGCTCTCAGGAACTCACACGCCGGATCGGCGGATATATATATATATATATATATATATATATATACACGATATTGTGTCGTGTGGGGATCTGTCGTACGGGTTCCTGTTAGTTGTGGCCAAGTCTGTGCTGAGGTTGTTGGACTGCCGATTGGCGCCTTTTTGAGGGCCTCGGTTGTCGGTTATGTGGTCGTGTATGGCAACCGCCTTAGCCGACATTGGAACAGGCGACGATGACGATGATGGTGCTGCTGATGATGATGGTGCAGTTGATGTAGATATCGATTATGATGGTGATGCTGGTAATGATGATGATGATGATGATGATGATGACGATGATGATGATAATGAGGAGGATGAGGTTGAGGATGAGGATTATGCTGACAATGATGAGGACGATGATGCTGCTGATGAAGATGATGTTGATGCTGCTGCTGATGCTGATGCTGATGATGATGCCGATGCTGATGATGATGTTGCTGCTGCTGACGCTGTTGTTGATGTTGATGGTGACGATGATGACGATGTGGACGACGATGATGATGACTACGACGATGATGACGACGACGAGGACGATGATGATGACGACGATGCTGCTTCTGCTGATGATGGTGATGATGATGATTATGATGATGCTGCTGCTGATGATGATGATGGTTGTGGTGATGATGCTGATGATGCTGATTATTATGCTGCTGGTGATGAGGTTGCTCATCATGATTATACTGTCGATGATGCTGACGATGGCGATGACGATCTTGATAATCGTTATGATGATGCTGATGATGCTGATGATGCTGATGATGCTGATGCTGATGAAACTGATGCTGATGCTGATGCTGATGATGATGCCGATGACGACGACGATGACGATGATGACGATGATGATGCTGCTGCTGATGATGATGCTGATGATGGCGACGACGAGGACGATGATGACGATGATGACGACGACGATGCTGCTGCTGATGATGATGATGATGATGATCAGGATGATGATGATGATGGTGATGATGCTGCTGATGATGCTGATGACGATGATGATGATGATGATGATGATGATGATGATGATGATGATGATGGTCATGATGAAAATGCCGACGATGATGATGCTGCTGATGATGATGATTCTGATGATGATGCTGCTGCTGATCATCATGAAGATAATGATAAGGATGCTGCTGCTGCTGATGATGTTGGTTGTTGTGATAATGCTGATTATGACTATTCTTATCATGCTGGTTAGGAGGTTGATACTCAAGATAATACTGTTGATTATGATGACTAGGAGGATCTGAGTAATCGTTCTGCTCATGCTGGTGCTGATGCTGATGATGATAACAATGGCGATGATGATGATGACGATGATGATGATGCTGATGATGATGGTGATGATGATGCTGCTGCTGATGATGATGATGATGATGAACATGGTCCTGATGCTGGTGCTGCTGCTGCTGATAATGATGATGATGATGATGCTGATGAGGATGATGATGATGATGATGATGATGATGATGATGATGATGATGATGATGATGTTGATGACGAGGATGATGCTGATGATGATTATGATGCAGCTGTTGTTGCTGTTGATGATGATGAGGATGATGAGGATGTTGCTGATGATGATGATGATGCTGCTGATGATAACGATGATGAGGATGTCGATGATGCCGAATCTGATGCTGCCCATGATTATGTTGCTGATGGCGATAATGATTATAATGGATAACCTCGCCATTACCACGACTCTCCATTTTATCGTCAGTGGTCCTCCTTTCTCATTATAACTGCCCTGACGTCCTTCACCGTGGTTTGGCGGGTGGGGTGGCGACCACATCGGGGGACTTGGGTGCAGCAGACCCGTGCGAGGGGTCGGACTGGGATGAACGCCGCAGGGATTTGCACGTGGCCAGGGGCGATAATCCTCAGGATGTGTGGTAGCTCAGTGTGTGTTTACACCCTTCAGCTCCACCGGTATTAAGCAGCACGGGTTCGGCCTTTGTTACATTGCCTGTGTAGAACTGGAGGGCTTTGGTGGATCACACAAATTGGTGCCAACACGCGTTCTAAGGATCATCGACAGACTAAGCAGGGGGATGACGAGGAACATCAGGGAGGAGAGAGGGATAGAGAGATAGAGAGATAGAGAGAGAGAGAGAACGAGAGAGAGGAGCGCGGCGACAACCGGTGGGTGCAGAGGGGGGGTGAGGACGCGGCAGCTGTTCACGTGAGAAAGAAGCAACAGAAGATGGCCCCCCTTGATGCAGATGACAAGCTTTTGACGGGTGAAGGCGTAGGTGTAGCCAGAGCTACTGCTGCTTGCTAATCACGACGTGGCGGTGGAGGAGGTGTAGGCAACGAGCTTCCCGAGGCCCAATGTGTTTGCACATCGATGAACGACACTGGTATGAATGCAGCTGCGACTCAACCAGAACAGCGGTAAGAAGGACTGTCCCGATCGGCGTGAACAGGCTGACGCGCTGGGCACCGTGCGCGAAGTGAATGCAGTAAGGGGGGGCGACCCCCGCCTCGTCCGCCACTGGGGCAGGAGCCGAGGCGGGAGTTTGAAAATGGCGGGCCGCTCGCGCATGGAGCGTTGGAGGAGGAGGGAGGAGGGGAGGGGGGGAGGAGGAGAGGACGCATGGAGGAATGAGGGAGGTGGAAACGGGTTGGAGGTGGAGGAAGGGGAGAGAGGAGGGAGGAGGAGGGAGATGGGGATGAGCAGGATGTGACAGGGAATACGAGGATGATGGGGATGATGAGGAGAATGCGAAGGATTACGCGTTCCAGCGTGGCAATCCATCCACTTGACTCCTCCAGGTTCGAGTGCTTGTGGTGACATCTGCCTCCCGCTGTGGTCACTCTTGCCGGTCTCCAGGCCGTCGCCACCCTGTCGCACAACGAGATCATGCTGAAACTCATCAACGGCGGCGCGGACCTAAACTTGGCTCCAGGTGCGGTGGGGCCCCATGTAGGATGAGGAGCTGGGAGGAGGTGGAGGAGGTACGTAGAGAAATCGGGGAGGGGGTTGAGGAACGAGGAGAACGAGGAGGAGCAGAGGGAAGAGGGGGGGAGGCCTTGCAGAGGGCTGGAAGCAGACTGCTGCCGTGGCCGTGATCATGATGCGCGCGGTGCGAAACGAGCTCCTCCGCCTCCTCCTCCTCCTCCTCCTCCCTCCTCCTCCTCCGCCTCCTCCTCCTTCTCCTCGACAATTACTCAATATGAATACTACTCTCCCTCTTCCTCTGATGACGTGCTGGGAGTGTTCGACCCCCCCCCGCGTATTGTTTTTTACACAGGATTCCCGGGAGTTGGGTTTTCGCTTGCATTTTTTTCCAACATGCTGCTCTCGCTGAGGCGCCGGCCTCATTTTCGGGCCCCGCTCGTTCCGAATCGTGCTCCCACTGCAGCGCTGGCCTCATTTCCGTGCTTTCGCTCGTTCCGAATCGTGCGCCCGCTGCAGCGCTGGCCTCATTTCCGCGCTTCCGCTCGTTTCGACTCGTGCTCCCGCTGCAGCGCTCGCGTCATTTCCCGTGCCATGCCACGGCATGCAATGCAATGCTAGGTTGATACTACGCTTTGCGGTGCTCTTCTACGCCATGCCATGCCGTGCTCTACAATGCATCGCGTACCCTTTCGCGATCATTGCCCTGCTCGACATCCGACTGTGCGAGTAGAGAGGGGATCTACGCCATGGTAAGGGATGGGAGGGAGGGGTAGGATGTCAGATATGACGCGAGCGCACCCAGCTTGTCCTCCTCCTCCTCCCCCTCCTCCTCCTCCCCCTCCCTCCTCCCTCCTCCTCCTCCCCCCTCCCTCCTCGAGCCCGCGCGACGCGCGACGAGTGCGGTGTGGCGAGGGCCCCCGCCCGGCGAGGTGCGCTGGGGTGGACGCCTCTCCACCTCTGCGCGGCCGTGGGGAACGACGACGGCGCCCCCGGGGGGACGGGGCGACGTGCGCGGCGTCGCCTTGGCATCGCTCGGACGTGTGCGTTTTTTCTCGGCGAGTACCATCGAGGAGCATTGTGGGTCACCTTACGAACAAATACACGAAATCGAAAAATGCACAGGGACTGGACGTCCGAGCGATGGCGAGTGTTAAGTCGGGCGTGTCCCCCTACAGGGGGATTATCGACGACAAATAGAACATACCCCAACAATTGTCCAAACATTGTCCAAACATAGTCTGGGAACTATTTTTGGGGTACTGTTTGGCATTTTTTTGGCATTTTGGGATTATTTCTTATTTTTCGTCGAAAATCCCCATGTAGGGGGACACGCCCGACTTAAGGCAAGTGCGCGGCGTCGCGTCCAGGGGGGGAAGGCAAGGAGGGCGGGCTGTCTCAGAGTCGAAGAAAAGCACCATACACATAGGCTATTGGCGCTCCGCGCGGATTTCTCGGATCGCGCCCTCTACAGGAGTTTTTCTGTTTCTTATCTCTTTTGTTGTTGTTGTTGTTGATGATGATGATGATGATGATGATGATGATGATGATGATGGTGATGATGTTGTTGTTGTTGATGTTGTTGTTTTCATATAAGCAAAAACAGACACGGGACGAACTTTCGACTATTTTTGACTATCCGTAAGGGCTTCCCCCCTCAGCCGGCCCCCTCCCTATCACAATGAGATATTTCAGAGTCGCGTCGGTGCGTCTCGGCGCTGCCTTGGCGCATCTGGGAACATCATGCGGGGGCGGATAGGAATCATCAGCGCATATTGAGACGTTGGCGTTACCGAAGACGCCTACGGCAAATCACCGCCGCCCCTGCCTTTAGAATCGCCCATGTGGCCGAGCGTTGTGGCAATAGCTCGGCTAAACTATCGGACCATGTGTTTCCAAACCCGTTGTGGAAACCCTCTGGGGAACACTTGGGGGAGAATGGCGGGGAAGATCAGGAGAAGACGTAGGAGGAAGAGGAGGAGGAGGAGGAGGAGGAGGAAGATGGGTATCTTGGAAACCTCTGGGGACACTCTTGGGGCCTCCTGGGAGCTCCCTGGGGGCCTCTTGGAGGCATCTTGAGGGTCTCCTTGGGCCTCTTGGGGGCCTTTAGGGGCTTCTCGGGGCCTCTATGACAGTCTGGGTTGACTCCTGGCCCGTCTGACGCCGTCCGAAGCCGTCTTGGGGACCTCTCTGGGCCGACTTGGCCCTCTTGGGGTACTCCAGGGCCGTCTTGGAAGCCATCTTGGGCGTCTTGGAGTCCTCTTGGGCCGTCTTGGGGCCCAAGTCGGCCCAGAGAGGCCCCCAAGACGGCTTCCAACGGCGTCAGACGGGCCAGGAGCCCACCAAGAAGGTCCTGGCAGCCCTCTTGGAGGCCTCCTGGACCGTCTTGGGCCATCTTAGAGCCATCTTGGGCCGTCTTGGTGGGCTCCGGGCCCGTCTGACGCCGTTGGAAGCCGTCTTGGGGGCCTCTCTGGGCCGACTTGGGGCCCTCTTGGGGTGCTCCAAGGCCGTCTTGGAGGCTTCCTTGGGCGTCTTAGAGGCATCTTCGGACGTCTTGGGGGCCTCTTGGGGCCGTCTTGGGGCCGTCTTCGGGGCCTCTTGGGCAGACTTGAGACCATCTTGGAGGCCTCTTGGGCGATCTGGGGGCGATCTTGGGGCCTCTTGGGCCGTCTTTGGCCGTCGGAAGGCCGAAAAGGAGCAAATTCGAAAATCCTTCAAAACCCGTCGGACAATTTTTGAATTTAGCCTCTTCGGGCCCTCCTGGAGGAGCTCTCGGAGGCTTCTTGGGCCGTCTTGGAGGCCTCTTGGGCCCTCTTGGGCAGTCTTGGGCCGTCTTGGAGGCTTCTTGGGCGGACTTGGAAGTATCTTGGACCCTCTTGGGCCGTCTTGGAGGCCATCTTGACCATGTTGGGAGTATCTTGGCGGCCATCTTGGGCCATTTCGGCGGTCTTGAAAGTCATCTTGGAGCCATCTGGAGCAGGACAACCTTTTGAAACCACCCTTTCCAGGCCATTCTGGGACCCTGGCGGGCGGGGCCGAACCCCCGGGGGGAGTTTTGTTGTTGTTGTTGTTGTTGTTGTTGTTGTTGTTGTTGTTGTTGTTGTTGTTGATGTTGTTGTTGCTGTTGTTGTTGTTTTGGAAAAAGAACCAAAACCAAAACCAAAAGCGAAAGCATTCAGCACGCCGGGCATCCCTGCGATGAATCAACAGGGGGCGGCGGATCTAAAACGCCTACGGCGAATCACCGCCGCCCCCTGCCTTTTTGGAAGCGCCTATGTGGCCGAACGTTGAGGCCAGGCCTGCCAAGCTATCGGACCATGTGTTCCCCGAGTCGGTTTGAAAAGCCTTCGGGGAACACGTGGGCATCTTGAAAGTCATCTTGGCCGCCTGGAGGCCATTTTGACCCTTTCGGGCCTTCTTGGAGGACGTCTTGGAGGGCTCTTGGGCCGTCTTGGTGGCCATCTTGAGCGTCTTGGAGGTCTCTTGGACCGTCCTGGGGGCCTTCTGGGCCCGTCTTGGGCCTCTTGGGCGATCTTTGGGGGCACTTGGGCCGTCTCGGGCCGTCGGAAGGCCGAAAAGAAGCAAATGCCACAATCCTTCAAAAACTCATGGGAAATTAATGATTTTGGCCTTTTCGGGCCTTCCTGGAAGCCCTCTTGAAGGCCTCTTGGGCCGTCTTGGGTCATCTCAGTGCCATCTTCGGCCGTCTTGGTGGGCTCCTTGCCCGTCCGACGCCGTCGGAAGCCGTTTGGGGGGCCTCTCTGAGCCGACTTGGGGCCATCTTGGGCGTCTAAAAAGCCTCCTGGGCCGTCTTGGGGGCCTCTTGGGGCCGTCTTGGGGGCCTCGTGGGTCGTTCTGGGGCCATTTTTGAGGTCTCTTGGGCGATCTTTGGGCGATCTTTGGGGGCCCTTGGGCCGTATCGGACCGTCGGAAGGCCGAAACGAAGCAACTGTCACAATCCTTCAAAAACCTAAGGAAAACAGTATTTTTGGCCTGTTCTGGCCTTCCTGGAGGCCCTCTTGGAGGCCTCTTGGGCCGTCTTGGGCCAGCTTCGAGCCAACTTCGGCTATCTTGGTGGGCTCCTGGCCCGTTTGACGCCCTCGGAAGCCGTTTGGGGGGCCTTTCTGGGCCGACTTGGGGCCCTCTTGGGGTGCTCCAGGGCCGTCTTGGAGGCTTCCTTGGGCGTCTTAGAGGCATCTTGGGCCGTCTTGGGGCCCTCTTGGGGCCGTCTTGGGGGCCTCTTGGGCAGTCCTGAGGCAATCTTGGAGGCCTCTCGGGCGCTGTGGGGGCGATCTTGGGGGCCTCTTGGGCCGTCTTGGGTCGTCGCAAAGCCGGGAAGAAGCGAATGCCAAAATTCTTCAAAAATCGAAACAAATCAATGATTTTGGCCTCTTCGGGCCCTCCTGGAGGACATCTCAGAGGCCTTTGGGGCCATCTTGGAGGCCTCTGGGGGGCCTCTTGGGCCGTCTTTAGGCCGTCTTGGACCATCTTGGGCGATCTGGGAGGCCATCTCTGACCATCTTGGAGGCCCTCTTGGACCAACATGGCCATCTTGGAGGCCATCTTGAGCCGTCTTGGAGAATTTTGCGTGGACGCTGAGGTGGTTTACGCGGCCTTCCGGGTGGCTGGCGGGACGGGCCGAAGCCCCAGGGGGAGTTCTTTTGGAAAGAACCAAAACCAAAACTGTAATAATTCGGCACGCCGGGCGCCCCTGCGATGAATCGACAGGGCGGCGGATCTAAGACGCCTACAGCGAATCACCGCCGTCCCCTGCCTTTTTGGAAGCGCCGAGGTGGCCGAACGTTGAGGCCAGGCCTGCCAAGCTATCGGACCATGTGTTCCCCGAATCGGCTTGGAGAGGCCGCCCGCCCGAGGCCGAGGCCAAGAGGATGCGCGCCGTCTGCGCGCTCAGGCCAAGGAGAAGGAATGGAACAAATGGGTTGACTCGCACACCTCGGGGGGTATGTCTGCGCTGTATAAGTTTTCGAGGCCCCGCCGGCGCCGCCCGCCGGGCGGCGGCCGACGGCCTCGAGGAAGAAACTCCCCAGGACCCCGTCGGGTGATGTGAAGAGCAACGTGACGGGGGTGCTTTCCTGATCTTTGGCCTCCAGGGGCCCTTACGGTGCGGGCGCGGCCGCAAGGAACCCTCGCAAGAAACCCAACCCTGAGAACCCGTGCGCGCGGTGTACCCGAGGGGAAACCTGGAGCACCCTGAACGCAGCAGCTCCTTCAGTGGCTGCGGGAATTCGCCGCGCAGCGCGAGGAGCGAGAAAAACCAGGATACTCTGAAGAAACGCACGTGGTTTCTCGTTGCGCGCCCCCACTGTATACCGGGCCTCGGGACCGTCAAAAGACGACTCAGGATGGGAAGCCGGTCCTGGGGAGTGGGTCGAGAACTCTGGGAATCGACGTACTGAAAAATCATGACGTCGGGGGTCTGGGTCCTGCGCAGAGGCCGGGCGCTCGCGGAGCCCTGGGCCGTGCACGAGAAGCGCGCGGGGCGGGCCCCTCCAGCAAGAGCCTGTGCGCAGGGCCCTCGCTGGCAGCGAGCCCGCTGCCTGCCGCGGCTCGTGGCGAGGGCGCCCTCAGAAGGGCCGCCCCGCCACAGAGACCACCTCGGCATGGGATGCCCTGCTCCCCGACGGGCAGAGCCGCATGGCTTCCGGCGAGCACCCTTCGATGGCCTGCCGGCACCATTTCTTGGGAGCCTCCAGCGATCCCAACAGCCATCCGCAGACCGTGGCAGATCTTCGAAGAGGGCCTCGAAGAGCGGCGCAGAGGCGGTGAGCCGCCACTTTCTAAACCAGTGGGCGGAGGCTCGGGATCTGACCCTGGAAGTTAGACGCCCGAAATGGGTACGGAAAGAATGGGTACGATGCCCAACAACAAATGTTGTCCCAAACCAACAGCGGCCGCTGTTGAGCAGGCGGCCTTCTGTCTCAAATGGACACAGGCCGCGGCGACACGGACAGCGAGTCCTGTTCAAAATGAACAGGAACTGTTGTTGGGCATTGTACCCATTCTTTCCGTACCCATTTCGTTCGTGCCGATGGAGGAGCTCTCCAGACCTCCCCCCTCCTTGCCTGCCCGCCCGCTTTCCCGCTTCTTGGCCCATGCTTCTCCCCCTCGGCCGAGCCGCACTCGTGCCCGCCGGCCAGTCACGCAGCCACCGCAGCTGTTGCCGCCGAGTCGGCCTGCAGCCCTCTCGCCTCCGCCACCACTCTTTTTCTTCGGCAGGCCATTGGGCGCACGAACCGCAACCACTCAAGTTCCCGCCTTCTTGAGCAGAGACTGACCGTCCCGGCATTCCTACAGTCCTACCACGGAATGTTCTTAGAACCCAAAAATGTTCTAAGAACAAACCAACGCTCTTAGAACATAAACCCGATGTGATAAAACAAGACCGACTCTGCCAGAGATGGTCTAAGAACACTCCGTGAAAACCACCAAAGGTTCTTAGAACATGGTTTGGTAGGGCTACAGGCGAGCCAGGACGCTTCGCCACTGCTTGACCTTCCCTGCACGCCAGTCGGCCTGCAGCCCTCTCGCCTCCGCAACCACTCTCGGGTCGGGCGAGAGGGGGGGATGGCAAAGGGGGGGTTGAGAATCAGCTCACGTGGCTGATTTTCCCGGCGCCTCCCGGCGCCAGAGGCGCTTATGTATCGAGGAATGGGCCCCCCGGTGGGGCCGAAACCAGCTGCACGCAGCAGATTTCGTACCCCCCCCTTCCCAATCCCCCCTTTCGTCCGGCCCGACACTCGGGAGCGGCCAAGAGGGGGGTGTCCAAGAGGGGGGGTGCAAATCATGACCGGCGGCATGTGCGCGGCCCAGCGGGGGGCCAGGGACGTAATGAAGTAAGAAGAGGCGCCATGAAATCAGGGCAAAGATCATGGCCCCCGCCAAGATATCCACCGCACCTAGTCATCACCCCCCTCTTTGCCGCCCCCGAGACACTCAAGTTCCCCCCTTCCCTGCAAGGCCGGTCCTCCCTGAAAAAGATGGCACAGCCTCGACCGCCCGGAGTCGGGGGCCCGCACTCTGCAGGTCGAGCGCCGGCCCCTCCCGATGTGGCCACTCGCCCGCGCCGCCGGCCGGCCTCCCCGCGCGCGGCCTGCCCGGCTGCAGAAACACCAGCAGGGCCGCGCAGCCCACGAGGCCCCCAGGAGGCGTGCCATGAGGCCACCAGGAGGCCAACGTCATGGACTTCCTACGGGAAGAGGTGCCTTTTCAGCATGCAAGGCTTCTCGGCCCTCGCAGCGTGGAAGACGGCCCAAGATAGGGGGCCACATGCGAACCCTACCCCTGCCCCCTACGATTTCTGAGGGGGAGGGTGGGGTTCACTTCGTTCGGGAGGGAGGGAGGGAGGGAGGGAGGGGAGGGGGAGGGGAGGGAGGGAGGGAGGAGAAGGAGGAGGGAGGAGGAGGAGGAGGAGGAGGGGAGGAGAGGAGGAGAGAGAGGAGGAGGAGGAGGAGGAGGGGGGGGGGAAGGGAGGGGTGGATTTTCTGCCCTCTGCTCTGGCTCGCTTTCGCGGGCCCCGCGGCCGCCATGGCGCGAGGCCGCCCGGGCGCCGCGCGTGGCCGTCCGCCCTCCCCTCCGGGGATCCCCCCGCCCCTTCGGACGGGGTTTTGGGCGGGGGGGGTCCCCCCGAGAGGCAGCGGCTCCTCCTCCGCTTCCCTCCTCCTCCTCCTCCTCCTCTCCTCCTCCTCCTCCTCCTCTCTCCCCCCCCTCCTCCCCCGCCTCCTCCTCCGCCTCCGCCTCCTCCTCCTCCTCCTCCTCCTCCGCCTCCTCCTCCTCCTCCTCCTCCCTCCTCCTCCTCCTCCTCCTCCTCCTCCTCCTCCCCCGCCTCCTCCTCCTCCTCCGCCTCCGCCTCCGCCTCCTCCTCCTCCTCCTCCTCCTCCTCCCTCTCCTCCCTTGTCCGCGCACGTCGCCTCGGGCCATTTGGCGCGCTGCCCCTCCTCCTCCCTTGCCGCCCTCATCGGCGCACAGGCAGCTCTCTCAGCACCGGGGGCCCGCGGACGGGCTTCGTCGGCCACACGCAAGAGTGACTGACCCTTCACCAGCGTGACCTTCGTCAGGCGATCGCAGACATGGGTCAAGGGAGCGTGGATTGGCGACGGGTCCCGTTTCGTTTCCAGGGGAAATCGCGGAATTCCGCTGCTGGGCGAGGCGGCACTGGCCGCATTTTGGGGAGGCCACCTTCCCCGATCCATGGATTTGGCGACCGCGCGCCAAATCCATGGATCGCTAATCCATGTTTGTGCGCCCCCGACTTTGGTGCGGACCCGTCGGGGTTGCCCGATCGCTGCACGCGATGCGATAGCAGCAGTTTGCGCCTTTGGGTTTGGCCCGCGCCCCCCCTTGAGGCCTGAGGCCGCGCACCAAAGGTCACTCTTGCCAATGTCCACTCTTGCGTGTAGCCAGTTTTGGAGGGCAACAGCGACCTCCTATCGCTCATTCATCGCCTATCGCGGCCTGTTGCCTCCACCCCGGCCCAGGAGCATGCGCGTTTTGCCTCCGCCGATGGATCGGCGATAGGGTCTGCCTGCCTCTCTGTCTGTCTTTCTGCCTGTTTGTCTGCATGCATGCATGCATGCATGTATGTATGTCTACAGTGATGTAGAGTACGAGTGATGTATGCGTGTAGGTCTACAGGTACGAGTGATGTATGCATGTAGGTCTGCAGGCCTACAGGTGTGTAGATGTGCACACATGCAGGCATGCAGCGATGTAGTTTTGCACGAATGCATGTATGCATGCATGCGTGTATGTGGAATTGTATGTCTATATGTGTGTGTGTGTGTGCGTGCGTGCATGCATGTAAGTGCGTACGAATAGGTGTGTGTACGTATGCATGCATGAATGTATGTATGCATGTGTGTACTTGCGAACGTACCAGCGTATGCACGTATGCCTGCCTGTATGTGTGTATTTATGTATGTTTGTACGCGTGTATATCCATGCACGTACGTGTGTGTGTGTGTGTGTGTGTGTGTGTGTGTGTGTGTGTGTGTGTATGCATTCGCACATGTATGTAGTTATGCATGCATGCAAGTATGGATGCATGCATGCATGTATGTACGTATGTGCGTGCATGCGTGCGTACGTACGTATTCTTGCATGCATGCATACATGTACTTGCGTACGTACGTGCGCATGCATGCACGGACGTAGGTGTATATGCATGTATTCATGTACGCATGTATGTATGCATGCATGCACGCATGCATGTATCCATGTATGCAAGTCTGCCGGGCTGTTTGTTTGTATGCATGTATGTACGTATGTATGATTGTTGGTGTGTCTGCCTGTATGTATGTAGGTTTGTGCGTACGTACGTACACGTACGCATGCATGCATGCATGCATGCATCTATGTATGTTTGTATACAACCATACATATGTGTATGCGTGTATGTATGCATGCATGTATGTATGTATGCGTGTATGTATGTTTGTGTGTATGTGTGCATGCATGTTGCAGGCATGTATGTATGCATGCATGTATTTATGCATGTATGCATGCCTGCCTGGCTGTCTGTCTGCCTGCCTGTCTGTATTCATGTATGTATGCATGCGTGTGTGTGTGAATGTATTTATGTATCCATGTTTGTACGTATTTGTGTATCTACGTTTTTGTTGTTGTTTTTGAAGTACGTGCGTAGTTATGTGTGTATGCGTGTCTATCTGCCTGTCTGTCTGTCTGTCTGTCTGTCTGTATGTCTGTATGTCTGTACTTATGTATGTTTGAATGTCTGTATGTATATCTGTATACATGAACATATGAATATGTGTATGCATGTAGATATGTGTGTATACACGCATTTATGCATGTCTGCATGCATGAATGCATGCATGTATTCATGTATGCACGTATGCATGTATACATGCACGTATACATGGACATGTACATGTATCTATTCTCTTATCTGTTAAATATATATATATATATATATCTATATATATACCGCCCATGTTATGTCGTTGTGTTCCCCCCCTTCCCGAGCCTGTCCCCGACTTTCCAACATCCCTCGTAGAAGCCCCCACCGCTTCTGAGAAGGCTTCTGAACGAGGCCTCCTGTCCCTCCTGGGAAGGCCTATATCGGGGCGTTCTCAGAAGTCTACTCCGCTTCTGAGAAGGCTGGGCCCTTCTCGGGAGACAGCTGTGTTGGGGCTTCTTCTTACAAGCCCTACCGCCATCTGAGAAGGCTTCGTGGAAGCTTCTTCTGGGCCCTTCTCGGAAGGCTCCCCTCGGGGCACTCTTCGAAGCCCTCCTGGCTTTACGGAACCCTCCCGTGCTATCTAAGAATGCTTCACTCAAGCCTCCGAGTCCTTCTAGGCGTGCCACTGCCCCCTAAGAGACGGCCCCTCGTCGTCTCGGAGGGCGACCCCCCTCGCGCAACCCCCCTGGGCGCGTCACCAGCCGGTGGCAGTGCATACTTTCCTTCTTATTCCTCCTCCTCCTCCTCCTCCTCCTCCCTCCTCCTCCTCTTCCTCCTCCTCCTCCTCCGCCCTCCTCCTCCTCCTTCCAGGTGCCGGCCTGCTGATCGCGAGAGGTGCAACGACAGTGCAGGAGGATTCGGCCAGCAGCCGCCCCCGGGTCGCCGCCGCCGCAGGTCGCCAGCTGCAGGTCGCCGATGTCGCCACTGGAACAATCTCGTCGTGCTTGCCGCCGATGAGGGGAGGCAGATGTTCCTATGCCGCTGCCTGCCACCCGCCTCTCGTCGTCCAGGCCAGAACGCGCACGGACCGCCCCCCCCAACACACGCACCCCAGCCTGCACGGTTTCCCTTGGGGCCCAGTCGACCCGAGGAGGAGGAGGAGGAGGAGGAGGAGGAGGAGGAGGAGGAGGAGGAGGAGGAGGAGGAGGTGAGGAGGGGGAGGGGAGGTGAGATGGAGGAAGGAGGGGGGGGAGGAGGAGAGGGAGGGAGGGAGGGAGGGAGGGAGGGAGGGAGGGAGGGAGGGAGGGAGGGAGGGAGGAGGGAGGGAGGAGGAGGAGGAGGAGAGGAGGAGGAGGAGGAGGAGGAGGAGGAGGAGGAGGAGGAGGAGGGAGGAGGAGGAGGAGGAGGAGGAGGAGGAGGAGGACGGGTCGCCTAAGTCCTTCGGAGAAACCCTGCACCCCAGCCGAGTTCAGAATTACGTGGCCCAGCACGCCTCTCAGACTCCTCCGCGAGGCGAGAGGGGACGCATGGGAAGATGCGGGAGCCCGATCTGGCAGGGGGGGGGGCGAACGGACCAATCGGCATACACATTAACTTCCAGAGGTCTGCTTGGGTCTCTCGGATCGGCGCTGGACTTTCTTGGTGGCGCCTCCAGTGCCGATCCGCACATCCGCACGGACCTCCGAGCGTTGCTACCGATGCTGCTCCGACTTCAGCCCGTGCCGATTTCACCACCTCCCAGGTCTGAATTTTAAGCTTATGCTCGTGCTGATTCAAGAGGCTGACGCCATTCCGCCGAACCCCGGAAGAGGCGGGGGGAGTCCACGGCTGAGGCGTCGTGGGCTTCTCGGGCACTATTTGGTGACTCGTGGTCGTCTCGGGAGCTGTTCTGGAGCTTGGTGGAGCCTCTTGGAAACAGTTTTGAAGCGTTAGCGCTCATGTTAACTCGGGCGTGTCCACCTACAGGAAGAACATTCGAGGATAGCGAACACATAGCCATTGGGACGAGTTTCCGCTCACATTCACTCCTGTCGATTCTGTTAGGAGTACGGTTTTTATTTTTCTTCCAGCATGCGCCTGTAGATGTGGACATGCCCGACCTGACGTTCATGCCGATCCTCCTTCTGGGGAGGGCAAGACGCCCCCTCGCGCAGCGCCGCCGCTCGCAGCACGGGGGGAGGTGCTGCCTCCCCCCCCCCCCTGGGGCGGGCCCCCCTCGCAGGACGCCGAGGGGAACACAGCGGAGGACATCGCGGAGCGCGCGGGCAACAGGAGCCAGGAGGAGGAGGAGGAGGAGGAGGAGGAGGAGGAGGAGGGGGAGGAGGAGGAGGGGGAGGAGGAGGCGGAGGATGAGGGGGAGGAGGAGGAGGAATAATAATAATACTAAGAAGAATAATAATACTACTAATAAGAAGAATAATACTACTAATACGAATAATACTAATACTATGAAGAAGAAGAACCATAATATCAATAATAATAATAATAATAATAATAATAATAATACGATTCATAATACTAATACTAAGAAGAAGAATAATACCAATAGTAATATTGATAATAATATTAATAATAAGAAGAGGAGGAGGAGGAAGAGGAGGAGGAGGGAGGAAGAGGAGGAGGAGGGAGGAGGAAAGGGCTGATGATGTGGATGATGCTGAGGATGAGGATGAGGATGGGGATGAGGAAGAGGATGCTGATGACGACGGCTCCGTCGTCGCGGCACGAGCCCGCCGTGCAGCGGCGGCAGGCGAGGGCGAGCCCGCGGGGGGCCCGCGCAGGAGCGTCCTCGACCGCCTGCGCGCCGCGGCGGAGACCCAGCCGCCAGGGCGGGGCCGACGGGCGGGGAAGGGGTGGTCGGGCCCCCTCCTCTGGGCTTCTTCCTGAGCAGCAGAGTTGTCTAAGCATGCTAGGCAGATGTGTCGCCATTCTGGCTGGAACTTTGCAGGTTCGGGCGCCACTGCTCGTGTGCCTACGGACACGCGGCTTCATTCATTCATTCTCTGGGCTTCTTCATGAGCGCGAGGAGGAGAGGACGCCAGGAGCAGACGCTTCTGGCGCGCGTGTCGCGGATCTCTTGAACCCGCGCTGGGCCCCCCCGGCGGCGGCGCGCGCGCGCCGCGCGTCAGGGAGGGGGGTCCAGCGCAGATCCAAGAGATCCGCGTGGAGCGCCACAAGCTTATGTTTATTAGGGGGCCGCATGCAAACCCTACCCCTACCCCCCACGATTTCTGAGGGGGAGGGTGGGGTTCACTTAAGGTTCGCATGCGGCCCCCAATTTATGCCGTTTTTCTTTTCCTACCAGTTCTCGAGGAGCCAGGAGGCACGGCACACGCAGGCCGGGGAGCACGGAAGCTCGATTTGGTCCTCTCCAGTCCTGGCCAGCTCGGCTCCGGTTTCTGCAGCCCTGGCGGCCGCATCCCAGCCGTCTCGGGCTTGTTCCGTCACCCGCCAGTCTTTCCAGCCCTGGCGACTGCAACCTCGATGGCATCTCCAACGTCTATTTTGGTTCAGCCTTTCTGTAAGGGGCCTCCGCGCGGATCTCTCTTTGGTCGGCGCTGGGCCCTCCTTGGGGGCGCCCCTGGCGCCGCCTCCAGGACGATCCAAGAGCTCTTCGTGGTCCGAGAGCTTTGGGCTACCGCATCTTGTACTGGGCTCCTCGTCCCTGTACGTATCCAGTTGCCTGCGGTAGTCTTAAGTCGGGCCTGTCCCCCTAAAGGGGGATTTTCGACGAAAAGTGAAAGACCCCCAACATAGTACAAGATTAGTCCAAAAATAGTCTGGGGACTTTTTTTTGAGTATCTTTTTGCCTTTTTGGTGCATTTTTGGTGTATTTTTTAGCTTTCGTCGAAAATCCCCCTGTAGGGGGGCAGGCCCCACTTAGCGGTCGTGCCCGACGCCGTGCCAGTCCAGCACACCCTGGGTGGCCCCTCGGCGGCTGCTCGGGGGCGCACCGCAGCGTGGGGCGATCTCTCGCGTGGGGCATTTGTTGGGGATCCCGAAGGCTTTCTTTCAGGAGGGGAAAAAACACACAGACACCATTAATCGTCGATTCCCAGAAAATATGGGAAACTGTGGGAAGTGGGGCGGAAGACAGAAACCCAGAAAATATGGGAAAATATGGGGACTGTTTTATTTGTGTGTATTTATTTGTGTGTCCCAGGGCCCCTTCATTCTTGGGGCCATCTCGGACTGTCTTGGAGCTCTCCGGGACCGTCTTGGGGTCTTCCTGGCCGTCTGGGGGATCTCCTGCGCCCGCGGGGGCCGGCTGGGGGACGGCCCAGGCCGTCGAGAGGCCCTTGAGCGTTGAGTCTGGCCCGTCCCTCTCGATGAGGAGTCTTCGAAAACAGTCAGAAAATGCACTGGGGATGATTTTTTAAAACTATTTTTGATCATGTTTGGGTGTTTTTGGCTGTCTTTTATATTTTTCTTCCAAAATCCGCCTTTAGGAGGACACGCCCGACCTCACTCTAGTCTGAGTTTCTGAACAAGCGTGGTGGGGGGTACCCCCCCGACGGGGGTCAATCTCGCTTCGTCGTCGCGCCGCGACGGGGGTCGGAGCGCCGCCGGCGCGCGGTGGCTGCCCGCGACGGGGGTCGATGTGGGACTGTCCGGGGGGGGGTGACGCCCCCCCGACGCTTATGCAGAAACTCGGAGCAGCGTGGTCTCGGCTCCCTCCAGGGGCCCCCCTTTGGCCAGCTCGGGGGGCTCTCTTGGGGCCGGCGCCGGCCGGCCATGGCTCCCCCCCCCGGTGGTGCCTTGAGGCCGTCTTGGGAGATTTTTTGGCACTTTGGGGACCCTCTGGGATGACCGTGGGGGTTTCTAAGTGGATAGGGGGGTTACAAATGGATGCCCAGGTGGGTTATATCTGGCCCAACCTGGTAAGTGGGCTACGAGTGCCCAGGGGGGTTAACGATCCGGGCTAAGTGGGCTCGCGCCCACTTAGCCGAGTTATCTAGCCCCCCTAAGCCACTCGGGATATTTGCAACCCACATATAAGCCAGGTTGGGCCAGATACAACCCACCTTGGCATCCACTTGTAACCTCCCTATCCACTTAGAAACCCCCACGGTCATCCCAGTTTGGAGATTTTTTGGCACTTTGGGGGCCCTCGGGCCGTTTTGGGTCAAGTCTCATGGCGCGAACATCGCAGAGCGGGTGTCGTTCAACGACAGGGTGGGCCCGGAGGGTCCTGGAGAATTTCGTTCTGGATTTCGAGGTGAATTTCGTGCGTTTTTTGGGGGCCCAGGAATGAAGACCAAAAAGATACCGCGCGAAATTCCCTTCGTTTTTCGCTCGCCGTTTCCTGCAAACATTCACGCAGAAATCCACGCAGAAATCCGCTGCAGCACGTCTGCAAGGCCGGTGCAGTGACAAATCGGGCATGTCCCTCGACCGGAGGAGTATTCAAAAACAGTCAAAAGTAGTTAGGGGATAATTTTCTGACTATTTTTGATCATGTTTGAGCATGTTTCGACTACTTTTTTCTTCCAAGATCTGCCTGTAGGAGGAAACGCCCGACCCAAGTCTTGGGTCTGGGGGCTATCTTGGGAGCCTCTAATGTCGTCTAGAGCGTAGGGAATTCTGGCATGGTGCTCAGCGTAAGGAATTCTGGCATGGTGCTCAACTTCTTGAACCACTCTTGAACATCATGCTGATCTTGGCAACTTCCTCGGGCCCTGCTGGGGGGTCTTCCGGTCGCCCTCCGGGCGCGTCTTGGGGGCCTCTCGGCCTGTCCCGAGGCCATTTTGGGCTGTCTCGGGGCCGTATTGGCTTGTCTTGGAGTCTTCCGGTCGCCCTCCGGGCGCGTCTTGGGGGCCTCTCGGCCCGTCCCGAGGCCATTTTGGGCTGTCTCGGGGCCGTACTGGCCTGTCTTGGGGGCGTCCTGGGCCCTCCTGGTGGTCCTCGTGGCCCGCCCCGCCCGTCTCAGGAGCCCGGGAGCGCGTATTCGTGTGTGTGTGTGTGTGTGTGTGTGTGTGTGTGTGTGTGTGTTTTTGTAGGATTAAGTCGGGCCTGTCCCCCTACAGGGGGACTTTCGACGAAAAAAGATCCCCCCAAAATAGTCCAAACATAGTCCAAAAATCGTATGGGGACTTTTTTTTGTTTCTTTTTCTTTTTTCTTTATATATATATGTGTATATATATATATAAAACCTTATTGGTGTATTTTTGGGGTATTTTTTTCGTCGAAAATCCCCCTGTAGGGGGACACGCCCGACTTCATTGTAGGAGGGTCAGGAGGGGAAAAACACATAGGCACAATTAACCGCCGACTCCCAGGAAGATGTGGGAACATATGGGAAGTGGGGGGGGAAGATGGAAGCCCAGGAGATACGGGGAAATATGGGGGATCCTGTTATTTGTGTGTGTGTGTGTGCGTGTGTGTGTGTGTGTGTGTGTATGTGTGTGTGTGTGTGTGTGTGTGTGTGTGTGCGTGCGTGTGTGTGTGTGTGTGTGTGTGTGTGTGTGTGCGTGCGTGCGTGCGTGCGTGTGTGTGTGTGTGTGTGTGTGTGTGTGTGTGTGTGTTTGTGTGTGTGTGCGTGTGTGTATATACATATATATATAGTTGTGTGTCCCTGGGCCCCCTGTGCGAGGGGTGGTGGCCTCGGGAGCGCGGGCCCATCGTTGTTCTGCCAGGGAGAGGAGGGGGCCGTGCTCGGCTGAGCATGGCGACAGTACAGAGGGGGAGGAGGAGGAGGAGGAGGGAGGAGGAGAGAGGAGGAGGAGGGGGAGGGGAGGGGGGGGGGAGGGGGAGGGAGGGGGAGGGAGGGGGAGGGGAGAGGAGGAGGTGGGAGGGAGGAGGAGAGGAGGAGGAGGAGGAGGCCCTTACGAGACCACATAAACCCTGCGCGACAGCCCTTTGCATTGAGTCAGGGGCAACGATAAGGGGGGTAGCATCGACCCCGAATCGCCCATTGATCGCCGATAGGGGCCCGATAGCCCCAACCTGCCCAGGAAGGTGCGGCCTCACGATCGCGGGCCCATCGCCGGTCTATCGGCGATGTATCGCCGATTCCAGGTCGATGCATCCCCCCCCCTGTGCCTATCCCCTCCCCGATCGTTGCCCCTCAGGAGCCCTGCGCGACAGCCCTTTGCATCGTGCCACGCCTCAGCGCGCCGCCGGGCATGGTGGTGGATTCCGCTCCGTTTTTTGTTTGTTCTCTCTCTCTCTCTGTCTGTCTACGGGTACGTTCTTTTTGTTTTCTCTCTCTCTCTCTCTCTTTTTGTTCTCTCTCTGTCTACGGGCGCGTTCTTTTTTTGTTTTCTCTCTCTCTCTCTCTTTTGTTTGTTTGTTCTCTCTCTCTCTCTCTCTTTCTCTGTCTACGGGTACATACATGTTATGAGTGTGGCTCTCCTCTCTCCCCCGATGCGGTTCGGAGGCTGTCGGGCCTTCCGCGCGCGTGGTTCTCTACACAGGTCTTGTCGCACGGGTTGCCCCCACGTGTTTCCATGGCAGAGGTGCTCCCGCGGCAGCGGGGGCCTCAGTGTCGAATCGGCGCTGTGCTCCCGTTGTTCCGAATGGCGAACGGTGCTCTATCCCCAGCGCGGGCCGCTTCTTATCGCTGTCGCCCCCCTCATTTCCCCTCCACCGCCTTCCCCTGGTCCTCCCGCCCCTTCCACTCCTTCCACTCCAGTTCCTGCTGCTGTTCGTCCTCGTCCCCCTCCTTCTTCATCCTCCTCCTTTTCTTCCTGCTCATCCTCTTGATCATCCGCCACCTCCTCCTATGTACGCGGCTCTCCTTTCCCGAATGCGCATGACACGATGGGGTCTTTTTTGGAGTTCCAGGTCGGCTATGGCACGCGTCCGCGGGTTGAGAAAACATCAGCGCAATGGGAAGGGATGGGAGGCAGGGGTACGGTGGAGGCGTTCGTTACGGAATGTGCCCAGGAGGCTGCAGACCCTGGAGGATTCCTTACCCCTTTCCAACATCCCCTGCCCCATGTGCTTCCTCTTCCCATCTCATTTTTTTCCAGGCGGAGATTTATACACAGCCACCGTTTGGGGGATCGATCTTCGCAGATCTCCTCAGTCAGTGAATCTGGATATATTGGGGCCCCTGGGGGCCAAGCTGTATCCATGTCCACAGCCCGCTGGGGCACCAGGACGTCTGTTCCCAGGTTGTGGATATGGATCGATCCCCGCCTCGCTTTTGTTTCGAAGGCACTGCCTCGGGCGCCGTTCCGAGACCGCTCCGCGCGCCAATGATGGGGGTTCATCGCCGATCCAAGAAGTTCGCGCAGACCTCCGAACGTTTATGTTCATGTCCTTTCTTCTTCTGCGTCTTCTTCTTACGACGACGGTGACGACCTACTACTACTACTACTACTACTACTACTACGACTACTACTACTACTACTACTACTACTACGACTACTACTACTACTACTACTACTACTACTACTACTCCTGCTGCTACTACTACTACGATTACTACTACGACGACGACTACTACTACTACTACTGCTACTACAACTGCTACTTTTACTACTACTACTACTACTACTCCTACTACTCCTACTACTACTACTCCTACTACTCCTACTACTACTACTACTACCACTACTACTACTACTACTACTACTACTACTACTACTACTACTACTACTGCGACTACACTAACGACTACGACTACGACTACGACTACGACTACGACTACAACTACGACTACGACTACGACTACGACTATGACTACGACTACGACTACGACTACGACTACGACTACGACTACGACTACTACTACTACTACTACTACTACTACTACTACTACCACTACTATTCCGACTACTCTTGCTACTACTACTACTACTACTACTACTACTACTACTACTACTACTACGACTGTTACTAGTAGTAAGACGAGTACTTCTACTATCACTACTACTACTACTACTACTACTTGTGCTACTCCCCCTCCTTCTCCTACTCCAACTACTATTTCTACGACTTCTATTATGACGACTACTACTACTTGTACTACTCCTGCTACCCCTACTACTACTACTACTAGTATTATTACTACTACTCCTTTTATTACTACTACTACCAGCCTGGCGAAGGACCCAACCATATGCAGGTGTTAGTTTCGTCGTTGTATGCACTGCATTCGGAGGAGCTTCCTACTACTACTGATACTACTACTACTACTACTACTACTACTACTACTACTACTACTATTACTACTACTACGACTTCTACTACTATTAGCACTAGTAGTAGTATTCGTAGTAGTAGTAGTAGTAGTACTGCTACTACTACTACTACTTCCTGCTACGACTACTACTACTACTACTACTACTACTACTACTCCGGTTGCTGCTGCGACTACTGGTTCTACTACTACTTTCTAGCCGGGGAGCCCATCGCAGATCCCTGCATTTTTAAACATTTTTGTAGGTGTGCGAATGTGTGTATATATATAGATGTGTGTCTATATGTTCGTGCCTGTCTGTTAATCAAACATACATGTGTATGTATATCCATATCTACATATACATATAGCCCATACACATATCTATACATGCACACATATATATACATTATATTCATATATGTAGACGCATGTCTACATACGTAACACTTGTGCATATGTAGACATGTGAATGTGTACATGCATGTTCTTGCGTATATGTACATGTGCACACATATGACTACTGAGGAAACCTTGCACATCTATATGCCATTGGACTCCCTAAAAACGCTCAGGGACCTCTTGGAGTCCGAGGAACCTCGAATAACCCCCAAGAACCACCAAGACTGCTACTGCCATTACTACGACTACTACGTCTACTACGACGACTACTACTACTATTATTATTACTACTACTAGTTGTGCACCGCAGCACTCCACAACACCTACAGACTGTAGCACTATACAGCACACTACAACACTATACAGCACTATGCAGCACATTGAATGCTAGAGCGCACACAACACGTACTACACATACAGCACGCACAACACATATAGCAGTTCTCCATACGACACACGCACAGCACACACAGCACACACAGCATACACATAACATACTTGTACGGCACACACAACATACACATACAACACACCGACTACCACAACCACTGACTCTCAGCCACTACCACGACGACGAGTTCACATCAGGGGCCTGTTATGGATTTCCCGACTACTACTACTAGCAGGAGGAGGAGGAAGAGGAGGAGGAGGAGGAGGAAGAAGAAGAAGAAGAGGAGGAAGAGGAGAAGGAGGAGGAGGAGGAGGAGGAGGAGGAGGAGGATACTCCAGATTTCGTAATAAAGGGCGGGGCGTCTCATTTCGGGGGGGGGGTCTCTTCCAGGCTATCTTTGAGGGCCTGGGGGGTCTGGGGACGATGTTTTGGAGGGTTCTCCCACGGGGGAGGTCTGAAATGGCTTGTCTTGGAGGGTCCAGACCCCCTCCCTTTTATTACGAAATGTGGAGTAGGGAGGATGAGCAGGAGGAGAAGGAGGAGGAGGATGAGGATGGGGAGGAGGAGGAGAATGAGGAGGAGCAGGATGAGGAGGAGGAGCAGGAGGAAGGAAGGGGCGCCCTCAGGCAGAATGTCCCGCCGACGCCCGCGCAGCGCCGGAAGCTCGCTCCCCTGGGCGCGGCCCCGGAGCAGGAGCTGCCAGAGGAGGAGGCGGCGGCCGCGGACCCGTCGAGTGATGGGAAGCTGTGTGCACTCGAACAGGATCCTCGAGCAGGATCATGTGCTAGGTCGGGAGCAACGTGAGGGGGGGGATAGGCTCAGGGGGCAATGCATCGAGACCCAATCGCCCATGGATCGCCGATAGGGGGCCGATACTAGCAGCCCACCCCGCCCAGGACCATGCGGATTCGCTATCGAGAGTTGGTTTCCGATCTATCGTCGATGTATCGCCGATTCCAGCTTGGTGTTTCCCACCCTGAGCTGGTTCCCCCATACCCCCATACAGTCGACCCGCATGGTAAGGATGGGCAACCTTCCCAAGGGTAATCACCCTCGCATCCTTGCCTCCTCGGTCCAGCCTGAGCCACCCTCGTTGGCCGCGCCCCGCCCGAGAAGCTTCGAAACTGGGCGCCCGAGGCCCCCTTGCATTCATCGCGCATCCTTGCTATACGGGTTGGCTGTGCCCCCACGCTGCTCCCCCTCACTAGGTTTACGTCGGGCGTGTCCCCTACAGGGGGATCTTCGACGAAAAATACAAATACCCCAAAAATACCCGAAGAAGGTCAACAAATACTCAAAACATGTCCCCAGACCATTTGTTTCATTCTTTTTTGATTATTGTTGTTTTTTTCGTCGAAAATCTCCCTGTAGGGGGACAGGCCCAACTTAACACTAGGTCACTCCAGGGGCGCGAAGATAGTCGCGCTTCCCGCATCGCGGCTCGGGGTGCCAAGGCGCCCCTGTCCATCCCGGCGGCGGGACAGGGCGCGAGGATGGTCGCCTAGATGAGGACGCGCAACGTACCGAGGGTGAGGGTGAGTCAGGAGGGGAAAAGACACACAGACACAATGAATCGTCGATTCCCCAGAAAAGATGGGAAAATAGGGGAAGTGGGGAGGAAGACAAAAGCCCAGGAAATATGGGAAAATATGGGACATCCTGTTATTTGTGTCTATTTATTTGTGTGTCCCAGGGCCCCTTCAGAGTACCACTGCATCCTCGCCTCTCGGCCCATTCGGACCTTCAGCCCTTGGGCCACGGGCTTGGGGCTTCGGGTTCAAGTTTTGCCTCCAGGTGCCTCACAGGCATGGGGGAACATATGCGAATTTCTCGTCGAACCCTTGCGTGAGCCACGATGCTGTCAAGGGGCTCCAGACCTCGTTGTTTCCGATATAAGCGGAACGCGTTGTCCGGAAGCCCGCCAAGGAAGAGGCTGCGCTATACAATCTGGAATCCCTTCTCTGTGCATTCTTGTGATACGGTTGCGGTGTGAGCATACACGTTTCCGATTTCCGATCCCCGAAAGCTCGTGCTTGTATGGTTCTTTGTCATTCTGGCCCCCCTCGCCGTGGCTGCGAGACTCGACCGCTCCCACGCGCTCCTCGACTCCCCGCCCCCTCCCCCATCGTTCCTGTCTTCTGCTCCCCACTGCTGCTCCTCCTGCCTTTCCTGTTCATCCCCTTCCTCGTCCTCCTCCTCCGTCAGCCGTGCAGGCACAGGTTCCCTGTGCACAGTGGAGACTCATGCCAAGAAACACCCTGCTTGCGTCCAGGGTGCCCTTGGTTTCTTGGGTCTCGATGGTTTTGCGATGGAAACTGTGACGTCTTGGGGTCTCAGGGTTGGGTTTCTCGTGGAGGTGTCTTGTGGTCGAGCTCCTCCTGTACTCAGTCAGTCCTCTCTCGCATGGCCATCGCTCCCATGAGCGACTCCTTGTCGTGGCCTCGGCGCAGCGGGTCGCATGCTTCACTGCTTTGCGAGTGCCACTTGGGGTAGCAGGCATACCAGTCCAAGCGCAACAATGATATGCCTGGTGGGACGGATGCTTCCATTGCGATTGAATGTTTCAGCTTTGGGTGCAACGCAAACGATACTGAAGCTCGGTTCTGCAAGTCATGGTGAAAAAATTGGTGCAGGCCTCCCCTTCCCGTCGTGCTCCACGCCAGCTTGGCGTTGCTCACCGCCCTTTCGCCTCGCGAACGACGGGGGTGGGGAATGTGGAAGGGAGGGTTACAGTCGGGGCGCTGAAGAAGGAACCCTTTTCGTTGGGGAGGGGCTCGATGTTCCTTACTTGTTTCACAGCTTGCCTAAGGTTTTCCTTAGGTTTTCGATGGGAAGTCGAAGTTTAACGTGTGGATAAAAGGGGCCTCGTTCCATATTTAGGGTTCCGTAGGTCAACGCCCCCACTGTATGACATTTGCTGCCCGCAGCTGGTTTCAGCCCCGCCGACTGGCCTATTCCTCGACAGCTGGCCGCCTCCGGCGCCGGGATGCGCCGGGAGAACGGGCTGCGTGCAGCCGCTCCGCCGACGTCCTCGCCGTGTGCTCGGAGAGCGTGCAGGGGCACGTGAGAGGGGAAATCTGCACAGCGGTGCATGGAGCGACCTCGCGAGGGTTCGGCGCTTGCTGCAGGATGGTATGTCTTCAGGTCGGGCTGGGTGGGCGGGTGGGGCGGGGCGGGGTGATGGGAGGGGAGGGGAGGGGAGGGGAGGGGAGGTGTCAGAGGAGGTGAGAGGAGGGAGGGAAGCGGCGACAGCAGGACGGGAGAGGGGAATGGGGGATCGTGGAGGGGGAGCCGCACGGGGGAAGACGCCCAAGCTGGAGAGATTCCGACGAACTGGAGGACGGGGTGTCGTCGGGGGTAAGTGCGCTTCAGAGCCCTGGTCTCGTGGGACACGGGCCGCTGGCAGCGGGCGGTGTCCCATGTACGTGGGGGGTGCAGAAGGACGTGCCCCCCCGCCAAGCGCAGCGCACTTTCCTCCTCCGTCCTCCTCCGTCCTCCTCCGTCCTCCTCCTCCGTCTTCCCTCCTCCTCTTCCGTCCTCCTCCTCCGTCCTCCGTCCTCCTCCTCCGTCCTCCTCCTCCTCCCCGTCCTCCTCGTCCGTCCTCCTCCTCCGTCCTCCTCCTCCTTCTCCTCAGTTTTTCTCCTACGTCCTCCTCTTCCGTCATCCTCCTCCTCCTCCTCCTCCTTCTCCTTCTCCTCCTCCTCCTCTTCCTCCTCCACCTCCTTCGCCCTCCACCTCCTTTTCCACCTCGTCTGTCCTCCTCCGTCCTCCACCTCCTCTGTGCTCCTCCTGCGTCCCGCGTCCTCCTTCTCCTCGTCATCCTCCTCGTCCTCCTCCTCC